TATCTATAAGGGATAGTCATATGGGGAAATTTTCTGTCACAAACTTTTTGACATTCCTGCAACTGAGTTCGGGTAGGTTAAAAGAGCATCAACTTGGTTAGTCTTCTTCAGTATACACCGGAGAAACCTTGTCCTACTGCAATGTGTGACAGTCATGTGACGATTTATCGATAAACGATACAGGGACAACTTGTTTATTTTAATTGAAGAGACAAACTTTGTTTGTAATAATTGCTAGACACAAATTGTGGTCCTCTGAGTGGTTAGGTAACATTTTGAAAAACTTCGTTTATTTACAAAGTGGGTGTAGACTGTGGACTTTATTGACAGATTGTAGTTTCTCAGCCAACTCAAATCATAAAACACATACTAGAACTTTAAATGGGAAGCTAGTCGCTAAAACCGCCTGAGGAGTCCATTCGTTGTATTAATAAATTACTAATAGACTGGAAAGAACTCTAGACGTGGGCCTTAGCAGATATCCAATTGATACTAAAAGGGATTTAATGTTAATAACTTTTTGGTAAGAAGATGCCTTCTGGAACTATGAAATATTTCAGCGGAAATAGTGTCGCGTAATAAATACTGACATTTCACCACACCCGGCATAAAATTCGCCTTCTACAAGATTGGTGATGACTTGGCAAAAATGTGACCATCAGAGGTTGGAAGGAATAAACAAAGTCGTGAAATTCCTCCCTCACCCTCCTTAGCATAGTGTTTGTGACTATGACACGCTCGGCCATCACCGATAGCAAATGAAGTCGAATTAGTCATGGTCAGGAGGAGCAATGCAGACGCCATGCAACTAATTGTTACGTCCTTCAGTTAGGTCCAAGATTGTTTTTTGTTTTTGCATTTCAATAGCACACCCAACTCGCCTTGCCAAATTGCACTCATTAGTAATACGCTTAACTGCAATCGTGTACTTCAATGAGGTTGGCGTAGTCGTCTGCGAAGTAATATATATCGTGGATTTATCTAAATTAAGTTTAGTTGGTAAGAGAAGTGGCAGAACTTCAGTTGCTCTCCAGGCGTTTCAGTACTTATCCCTTTTATCTGAGATAAATGAGGAGAGAGGCGCCCTTACATACGTGAACTCACGAAACTACTTTAGCTTCCACGACTTGTTTACTTCCAATAAAAAATGGCAATTAACATGGATCGTAACCAAGTGGCGTCACACCTTTCTCGTTCGTCTCAGAATGTAAGGTGTATTATAGAACATAATTTGAGGGGCCGCTAAAAACCCAACTTAGATTACATAAAAATTGCCGCAACAACTAAAATTGTGAAAATTAAAAGTGACCTTAGTGTGTACACTTTAAATTAATGGTTTGAAGAGCTGCACACTGATCAATACGCAATGGACAAAATGAGGGATATTCACTTCAATCAAGTGAAATAATAAAGGCAATTGCATTTGATGTCCCTGAATTGAGGCTAATAAAAAAAACAGCTCGACTGAACAAGATATCTGTCAGGATAATAAGACAAAATTGCTCGGCAGAGAAGTCCCATTCACTTTACGCATGCCTGTCATCCCAGTGTTCATTCATGCGTTACACGGTTGCCTCCACCCCCCACCCCCCTCTCTGCTTGGCATCTTTGTTGTGCACAGCCGACGCCCCTTGAAACAACCTCCTACATTTTTTCTCCCTATTCACTCAATGATGAAATTCCTCGATGTGAAAATGAAAGAGAGTAATCGTGTGAGAGAGGAGCTATTTCCCACCCTACTCTCCTCACCATATCTGAATAGGGTACAAATAACTGGGGTATGCAATAACCCTGAAATACCCCCCCCCAATAGTTGTAAGGGCTAACAGTTATCACATTTCCGAGATTCAAGGCCCACAGAGGCAACACAACAATTAAAACAACTTAAGTACTAATAACTACAAGAATGAAAGATACTTTTCCAGCAATCTGGTTTGAAAAAGAAAATTTTTCTTTGAGGTGGGGGTAATTTTCATTTAAATATATTGTGTTTGATGGCATAAATATGGATTCTACTTTTGCCTTCATCTTTGTCTTTCAGAACTCATCTCAGGTTTGCTAATATAGGTACATTCATGGAATAATATTTGAAAGCAAGGTACTATAGAACCAGTACTGAAGAATTAATTCAATTCCCAATCTGTTAATACAATCGATAAAATACTCTTTCCCTGAGTTTATACATATTTAAGATCAGAAAATTTGATCTCTAATAATATATCATTTGTAATAATATAGTTAGTAGATTAAACACATTCGATTTACTTCAACTCAACTCATCAAGAGTGAACCGCTGGGAGCTCTGATATGCTCAAATTTAATTGCACTGGTATAATTAACTACAAAATTAAATCAACCGACTAATAAACTCACTCAGGAGGCAATTCATAAAAAATGTTATTAGAAGGTAGATAACTAAAGTTACCAAGAGTACACATTAATCAAGAAGGTCTACACCATTTCAAACCGCTGCCACTTTATCACTTACAAAATTATTTCCCCAATCTCACATACTATTCAATGGTTAATACTTGTAAAATTTTGCTTGTATTGTCGTGAGTAATGGTAATAATAAGTCTTATCTCGTCTCACAATACTTGCAGTTGTGAGAGTAGGAACAGATGGTAGACTCCCTCAAACGCGTCCAATTTGTCTATCTAATCAGATGCAATTAGCACATTATAAAACTCAGAATCGGACCTGCAATGTTAACTCTAGGGACACTTCTGAGTTTTGTACATTAACCCCCAATAATGGTACAGTATACACAGCCATTTTGGCTAGGCAAAAATGTAAAAATTAAATGAATAACTCTTTACTACAGCAGGCTAAGACCAACTCATTCGCAAAACCCCCTCTCGAATGCCAATGGCTTCCTTCTCCTCCACCTCCTCGTCTCCACTCTTTTACTAGGAAGGAAATAAAACTAAAACGGGAAATTGCTCAGACTTTCGCGTTTTTGCAGAAATGTTAAAAGAAAATTTGAATGTGAAAGCAAAGTGAGCCATGACGACAGTTGGATATCGGGAAAAAAAAGTTTGCCGGTCCTAATTTGGATTTTACGATGAGTCAGATGCAAAAAGGAAGCTAAGTGACAAAAACATGCCGAAGCGGTTGACTAGATAAACTAGAACACTTCGTAGACCGTTGATAACTAATTGCATTATAATTTCTTAACCTTTCACTTACTTCTTTTAGATCGAATAAGTCTATTTAAGATGCAATGACATTCATTCCAAGCATGATTATAGATATAACATTTTTTCCATTGGTAAGAGAACAGACCATTACCAAATGTATCAACATTTCGACGAAATACTCTAAGAATTCAAAGCAACAACTCATAGGTCAAGTTCTGTCGGTTGAGATAAGGAAAGACTGGCATCCTTAATCATACTTTCAGAAAATTAAGTGCTTTAGAATAAAGTGTGCTGTTACCTCCACCTCTAAGAACCTAGCTTCAAAGGGTTTTAATTGGTTATTTCAATGTCCGACAATAAATGCCCAGATGTTCAACTCAATTCTGGACAATCAATGTGTCTAATTATGTAGAAATTTCCTGTTAAGAGTATTCAGTTGATTTCTAACTTCCAAAGCAAATGAGTGGCAATCGGTCTTACAGAGCAAATGTTTGCATTCAATTAAGTTTTTCGGTTGTAGAAGAAAGAGCAAACCTGAATTGAACAAGCTTAAACGATTGGGAGGTGACGTCATTACCGTCTTCAGTTTTAGGGAGCCACAAGTTGGTGTAAGATGGTGGAGTTATATCTTGATGGATAAGTAGCAGAAAGATTATAGCCTGCATGAGTTTAACATAAAAGAGATCTCCGTAACTCCTCTAGAAAATGTATCAATTGTACGCATATCCCCTAGCCGGCCCCCTAACCCAACGTCCATATGAAATGACTTGAGCTAGACTTGCGGGCAATTAAAACAAGCAGTACATCTGGACAAATAAAACCGCGACATTTACCGTTGTCACCGTTGACCGCTATCAGCCAGCCGGTTGGTTTGTAAGTGATTTAGAGGGCACTACTAGTACACAATGTCTACTAGATTGAGCAAGGAGGGAGGGAATTGTAAAGAGACGCTCAACACAAACACGCAGATAGTTAAGTGGAGGTGAGTTGGGTGAGTGAACAGAAGCAAACGCATTGGAGTGGGGGCTGGATTTAATCGCTATAAGCAGTAGCTACTGCTTTGAGGGTGAAAGCTTTCGCGTGTCTGATTAAATCATCCAACAGCAGCAACGAGAGAGAGAGAGAATAAATGGTAGACTATGGGAGATTAAATTGCGGTCACCGGTTGCCATTGGGTTTATAAATAATGCAGATTGAATATGGAAGGAAAATCTAAGTGTGTTAGTTGCAAAGTATAAAAAGGAGGATAGACCAGTAAATTCAGTTCACACACACACACACACAGGGATGATTGTTAGAATGCCGAATGAAAGAGGTCATGGGTTATAGTCTGGTAAATAAGACCGATTAAAAAGTATGTCAAGAAAGTCTAATGCAATTGATCTGCCACGATTAAAATAGGATAAAATGCGCATCTCCATCCTAGCCGGAAAAACTGACGAGGTCATCTAAGATCAAATTTCCAGTTGTCTCAAGCCCTATAAAATACATTAGGGACAATACTAGAATCAATATGAGCTCCTTCAAAGAAAACAACACCAACACATAATTTTACGATCTGAGAGAAATGAAACAAACTCAATCAAAATTGGTCAGTAATAATGATTTAAAAGTTTCAGCATGTTCAAGACAATGCCTAGCAAACAGTGAGCTGTTAAATAATGCAATAAAAAGCAATAGGCATTTGAACAAACTATCGGACTTCGTTAGCTCTAGCTTGTTACATCTTCGATTAATTGAACTTACATAGGAAGAGAATTTTTCGTGTTTTGCGCCTATTCAGATAGTAATAAGTAGATAGATATAAATGCGAAAGAGCAATAAATAACAAACAAGAGAAATAGGGCGGATAGAACTCACCTTTCCAGACCTCGCCAAACTGTCCAGCACCTAGTTTTTCCAGCAGGGTGATGGATGTTCTGGGAATCTCCCAATGGTCCTTTGTCTGCACGGAGAGGTCAGAGGTCAGAGGTGGAGGCCGAGGGCAAGCGCGGGTCAGTCGTGAACAGAGACCATCTGCCTCGGTGGAGTAGTGTTCTACGAGATCTCGCAGACTTGGAAAGCTCCGCTTGGTAGAAATGTAGTAACGAAAGCCTGTGGAACTGGTTGAGCCCAACTTATTCACTCGGTAGTGCTTCACGGTGTCTGTAGCGCGATTGGTTGCGGAATCGAACTCACGATCGCGAACTGAAAGGGTCAGGGAGCCTGAAAGATAAAAAGGAGGATAATTAGATATTCAGTTTAGAAACACAGGATAAACAAAGAACTGGTCCATTGAAAGACGATCAAAAACCAACATCAATTAGTACGAAACAAAATTATCCCCACATGAGAAGCAAAATTTGTGAGTTCCGCTGGTATTGCATCAAAATAATTGCTTTGATTTTATGTTAATTGTATTGCGGGGTCAAAGTGAAAATGAAGACATTGAGCCCCCCCTTTGGCGAATTCCTTGAAGACTAAATTTTACTAATTGCTAAGACGGTGTTGAAATGGCACTATAAACACTACACGCTGTCTGGAATTTAGGAGCCCGAAAAAATGTTGACGTGAGATGGTAAGATCTTTAGTAACCCCTTAACTTAGACCTCAGAAAACAAATTCATTTACTTGGGAATAGCTCTCGATAATACTTTTTCCGTACCATAGTACTACTACAGTACAGCCATTACAAAGGTTGTCAGTTAAAGTGAGGAGCACAAAAAAGAAGACTAATAGCGCCTCCTCTACTCCTGTTTTGCAAAATTAATGAAGGAAAAATATGCGAGACGTATCTATATCGATTCTAAAGGAGGATATCTGCGAGAATAGCAATACCAATAATATCTAGCCTTCTCTGCTCTCAGACACTCGGCAGTTTTGATTTGGATAGAAACCGTCTAGGATATGGAAAGAAATGGTGAAGAAACTCGCCAGGAGGGAGGGAAGTGCGTCAACAATGGTTAAGTCAATATAGGGACATCAAGGGCGGATCTTGGTGAACCAGATTATGGACAATGCTCCTACTGTCCACTTTTTTTTCCAAAAGACGTGCAGCATCCACCTACGTGTAAACTGATAACTTTAGCGCTTGCATAATTAGTCCAATGGCAAAAGTAGGCTCAACCAACCAACACACACACACAAATTAGTGGATTTCAGCCTAAAATACAAATTGCAGAGGGAAAAAAGCGACAACTTGAAGGAGACAGCACGAATGTGGTAAAACCCTACCTGTAGTGGGGAAAATTGCATGATTAAGTTCCTTTATTTCTTCCATGAAACGCGGATAAAAAGGAAGTAGGAGGGTGATGTACGCTGAATACCAACTCTAATAAACTGCTTATTGTTTCTCAACCTATCTGCCCCTTATCAAATAGTTTATACTTGACACTCTTAAGCTTCGCATCCAAATAAGCCAACACTCTCTCCCTTTCGGATACTTCTAGAGTATACCGCCTCTCTTTGGCACTGGGTCAATAAACAAAATCGGAATTTCGTTCGGTTTGCGGCTATGGCATTTGTTAATATTTACTATAAACACAAACAAAATGTTAACGAAGACTTGCTGATTTGGCTTAATCAACGTCTTCTCTTTTTGATCAAAACTACTCAGTGGTAAAGCACGAAACCAGACACAGACGGAATAGGTGGCCGGGGGAGAGAAAATGAGGGGAGGGTGGGGGGGGGGGGGGGGGGGGGGGGGGGAGAAGGGAAGGGGCGCATAAGTCTGCAACCAAGAGAGGTGGTGACGTCTATGCTGAATTCACTCCCATCTCCACCCTCTTTCTTCCCCCCTCTCACCTAGCAACTAACCAACCAGCCCAGCTCTTGCTTGTCAATGTGTGAGTGTTTGCCTCCTCTTTAATAATGGCCGCCTTACTACCCTCACTCCCCCCTCCTCTTCTTTTAACAATGGCCCGGCAACCTTCTGGCAAGTTGCCAAAACTACTAATAAAAACCAATCTGCTATTGCTAACAAAGCCACTTCATGATCAAATATTTACCTGTCCAATCAATGAAATAGTGCTTCCGATAGTAAAAATAATAACATCAAGGTGAAGGGAGGGACTTAGCGTCGGGTGAAATTGACGTAATTGAACATTTTTTTGGTAAGTAACATAATTAACACTACGTGTAATATTAAAAGGAGAAAAGTGGATGAGCCTTGGTTCAATTTTCTCCAAGCTATTCACTTTGTCACCATTCGGCTCAACGCTAAAACTGAAACAATCCATTGAATCTGCACTCCAAGCGATAAAATTAAAAGCTCACATGCTTTTGGTAAATTAAAATTAACGTATTTCGATTTATACGCTTTACCAAACTATAAGCTTTAACCACTTCAACACCTTAGCACTAGAGATGAAGAGAATGGGACTCTGTAATACAAATAGGGAAAGAAAATAATTTCTTTCTCGAGGAGTAAAGATCGGACTAAATTCTAAAAATCGATATAGCTGAAATGCGCAGTGATATCCACAAAGCTAAATCATACTGTTTTATCTCTCACATGAAACAAAATATTAAGATTTTAAGAAGCCCCCTGCGAGCCGATAAGGGGATAGATTTAAGTTGACGCAGTTATTCATCAATTGTGAGACTAAACACCTTTAATTCCCCCTTCAACAAACTCCCCTCTTATTTTAAAAACGCGACGAGGACATAGATCAGGAGAGGGGTGAAGGTAAACAGAGGCTAATAATTAGCCTGAAACGTTGATACCGCTCTGGGAGAGGTGGAGGTGGAGAGGGAGGGAGGGGGGGGGGGGGGGGGGGGGAGAGTAATAAATCAAACATGCAGTCAGAGAGAACATAAAACACTCCTCCCTTAAGCCTCTCCCATCTCAACTTTTACAAGATGACTGAATATTTGTAGCAGACAAGGGAAAACAGAAACTTGTTTACCTAGACGATTGACTGCTTTCGGCAACTTCAGAGGCAATTTGGTCCTATCTCTCTCTCTCTCCGCAGCTGCTGCTGTCGCTGCTTCCTAAAATGAGGACTGCCTAACCGGAAAGCATGAGACGGTGAGATTGTATAAAAATGCTTCAACTGCTCTTAAGATATCCTGAATAACCTTTATTTATGCTTGAGAGGTGTGAACACTAGAAACTATTCCACCCGATCCGCTGACACGTAACGCTTACTATACCTCTTGAAAGTAGGAAGGAGATAAGACGCTTAGAGATCCCGGTCTTGGCAATTAAGATGCATAGCCTTGACACTAATCAGACCAATGAATATGAGAATGGCGTCACCAGCCAGTGCTTAGCAAATGTTGGCGCACGCCTTCAGTTGCAATCAGCCGATTTCGAAGTGCGAGAATAAAATAATATAAACTAAGGTCAAACTTTTTTACATGACAACTAAGAGCTAATATAGCGCATGCACTCATTTTCAAAGCTAGGTTCTTACAATTTTACACCAACAAAGAGGTTCTAAATCAAAATGGAGCAGGCAGAATGCTTGGCTTTAAGACTGAATTCCCCCCCCCCTCCCCAGAAGACTTTGTCTTTCAACTCTTATAAGTGAGTAAATAAGGTACTTCAAACCATGTACCTCTGTCCAAATTGAAGTTTAGATAGGACCATTCTAAATTCGGCCAAAGTTCAATGACAAATTTTGGAGTAAAATGGGAGATGAATTAAATATGAAGATATAGACGAAAATTCCATATTGATGTCTTCTTTTCTTATGGGCAAAAGTGAACAAAAATCATCTGAGAATCGATTTGAATGGACGCAGAACAATGACCATTTAAATGTGTCAGAAATGATTCTGGAAAAAATGATTATACCTCCGTTACCATTTGACACAGTTAGTCACTCTCAGCTTATTTTAACGAAAAATGGGAGTTTCCAGGAAATTGAGACCCAATTTGGGGATCAGCCGATCTGTGTGTGTGTGTGTGTGTGTGTGTGTGTGTGTGTGTGTGTGTGTGTGTGTGACAACCTCGAAAAGAGATAAAAGGAAGAAAGAGGAGAAAGTAGTGGATGCTAAAAAGTCATCAATTTACCCAATAACGGCTCTCTACACCCCCTCTATTAAAATATTTTAGAGCAAAAATTTTGGTAATCATTTTAGCGCATCAATTCCAAACCAATGCTATATATGGCACAATAGTCAAAAATCACAGTTATGGTATGCTAAGGGGGAGAGAGAGATGTATGTATGAAAGTAAATGAGAATATGGACAACCAAATCTCATGATAACCGGACTTAATTACTTATTCCTTCCTCGTCTCTTCAGCCGTTTCCTACCTTGCCAGACATGTTTACAGCCTCCCTTAATCGGTAAAGTTGGTTTCCTAATGACATAGGCAATAATACTAATCCACTGTTGCTAATACGATTCGACGTATGAATAGGTTAAACACATGATTTCAAGTTTGGAGACGAGAAAACAGCTGTTCAATAGGTGTAGCTCACATTCTGCAAAGCTCAACATCAATACCAGTGGTTTATAAAACCTAGGCATCTGACTGCCATAGTAGGCACAGATATGTAAACCTTGAAGCTCGCACGACTGGAACTTTGGACTAAAACGATTCTCTAGGGGAAGAGAGGAGAAAACAAACCCATGAATAAGTGTTGGCAACATTGAAAAAGTACACGTCGATTATTACGTAGTGTGTTCTCAGTGGTGGTGCTCGATGTACGAGCCTTTCAGATCGGAGAGCAACCAATGAGAAATGGGCACATGGGTGGACAAATGCCGTTATGCGCGGACAGGCGCGCCGTGCACACGTGTGTAATCCCAAGGATTATGACGCTTGTGCGGCCGTGGATGTGTGTACACGGGACAGGTTTTGGCCAACTGCCAAAAATTCTAACACAAACAAGCACATCAGCTCGGGCCAAGCGTGTGTGTGTGCCGCCTATGAGAATTTGCGTGTACCTAATAAATAAAGAATAAAAACCTAACACCTAAACCGGTATTAACCACAGCGCTACTATGTTTGAAGAGGATTATGAGGAGAAATCAGAATAAAGTGATATTACAAGACCAAATACCACTGTGATTAGCGTATAGAAGAATGACTACTAATATTACCGAAATCTCGTCCATTCTCGTTGAACTTGAGTGCAAAAAAGGAAGCTCAATCTGATCTATAAAACACCTCTTTAGATATTTAAATTTGTATATTCTTGTAAAGTAGGTCCAAAAGTGAGATATATACTGTAAAAATTTAAAACATGAACTAGTATAGTTACTATAGTCGATGACGGCAAGAATTCGTAGGCCGCGTGCTTAGAGGAATTCTGACGCACATGGTTAAAAACACTCTGAAATCATTGAGACGAAACCCAAAGACAATGAATTGACTTGGATAAAGCAGAAAGGCCCTACTAAGAACAATTGAAAAGGATATAACCAGGGCTCAAAAGACGAAAGTATAGACCTCGGAAAAATTATGTAACATGGCCAAAACGACTTTAGAAATAAAACGGAAAATATTAAGGCGGATTTCTTAAAACATGTAGGCTATCTATCGGAGAAATTCCATTTTCTCTCCCACATTCAAGATTAATGGGCATGTCAATTTCTTGTCCAGAAAGATTGAAAAGAAGATGATTAGAGAGAGAGTGAGCCTTAGACACAACTGGCTCTTTAGCTGATCAAGCCTTTTGAATTTGGAAGGGAATAAATCACCACGTTGTGGTTTAAAGTGTGTCTTACAAACCGACAAGTAATAAGAGGGAATTCTTAGTGAATATCACATCACACATCTCAAGCAAATTAAAGACACGAAAATGGCAATAAAAACTGCTCCCTCCCCCCGCGTTCAAGCAGAAGAAAATCCATGGAAAGAAAAAAGAGTTCAGACTGAAATTTAAAAGCAAATATAAACCAGACTGGAGAGCTTCGCACAAGAAGCAGACAATTTTAAGCAGCCAACGTAGATAAAATCTAGTTCTGTGGATTTGGATATAAAATTATTTCATGGCTTGTGAAGAGGGGTGATAGTGGGTGCAAGCTTTCCGCGAAAGTCAACCAAAGTGTAAATTCGCCATAAGGAAGGAAGAAAAGAGGAGTTTTTACGACAGAAGGGTTGAAAGGGTCCCATTAACTCAGGACTTAAATTCGATTACTTATCTTCTGCTTACCTCTAGTGTCCCTAAACATTCATGAATATAAAAAAGATGGTTGAGTTGTTGACTCTAAGTTTGGGACGCTGTGAAACAGTTCCAGACAGAAGTAAAGTATACTGGCATATCAAGGAGTTGCATGACTTTTTGAATTTCAGTATAAGGTTCACCCACCGTTAGCAAAAGTTCAGTTCCCACTAATTTACAAAAAAAACTGCAAACACAATCCAAATTTATGATTTAAGTAGTCAAATTTAAGCATCTGTAACTGCTTATTTTCTTGTGTGGGTTCGCGATAGACTCACCTCCACGTGGTGCACCCTGGACAACGTATCTTCGTACGGCAAAAAATTCTATCACTCGGCATTTGATTTGACTTCGATATATTATGATTAGCTTGAAACAAGGCTATAAGAGAAATCGCCCTCGTCAGGGCGAATCACAACGTCTTCAGATCCTCCAGTGGAATGCTGGAGGGATGTCACAGGACAAAAAGATCCAAGTACAGAAAATCCTACAAACCTATGATGTAGATATTTTCACAATTATGGAAGCAAACATTTCGGATGACAAACTGAAGTACTAACAATTCCCAGGTCACACTCTGTACAATCTACCTAAAACATCTTCACAGATTGGGAGTATACAATCAACCCACATGCCCACTATGTAACCTACAGGAGGTAATGGAGAAGACCTACCTGATTCGATGTCCAGCCCTAAAGACAACGACGGGAAGCCAGAGATACTGGGAAGCAAGAAGACGGCTAGTGAACTGCTATAAATGTACCACCACCCTTTGAGGAAGCTGAAGTCAAAGTTTAAGGGCTAATGATAAATATCACAAAGCCTGCCATTTGAAATAATAATAATAATGATTTAAGTAGTCTAATTTACCTTGAAATACTATAAAAGAGATGGATGCTATCATCCGGTTGTTTTGACCAACATTTAGTTGTCATAGCAATGTAGAGAGTTGCCAAAGCTAATTCGGCCCTCCAACTGTACTTAAAAGGAACGATATTCACCTGGATACTTTCGGCACTACAAATGTGGTAATATGGGAATCTGATGCGTGGTTAAGAAGCCCAGAACGGGCGAATGAATTTCAAGGTCAAAGGCTGGAGAAGTGAGAGATTGAGCACTCAAAATTATACAATGGCAAATTAATTTTGCCCTTAAAAAATTAAGAACATGGTAATTAAGCAATAGCAATGAATAACTTTCTATGCTTAAAATGAAAAAAAATCACTAGATATGCGAGGAATTAAAGCAAACGGAGATAGATAAGGGGAAAGGAATGCCATGGAAAGCGATATTGCTCAATTTTCTCAATATATAAAACAGGTACTATTTTTCTATTAAATGAAAATGAATTAAGCATGAGTAAAAGCTTTTGAAGTTTGTGGTGGTTAAAACGTCGGTCAACAATTTCATGGAAGTAAGATGATAAAAATTAATTGAATGTCATTGAGGTATGAACACAACCAGAAACACACGAAAATTGGTTAAATTGTAAATGCCTTTCAACAGTCGCATACCATGTTCACCTCAAAGTAGAAACAAATCCACCATCAGGAACAAAAACCTCGAAGAAAATTTTCAATTAAACCGACCCCAACACCAATGAAACAATACCAACTGGGAGATTGTACACGTTCTCCCAGTAACCCTGCAAATTGGTACATTCGGATAAAGATATTAAACGTGTTAAGAGAAAAAGCGAAGATTTCCCCCAAATGAAGAGAGGATATATCCCCTTCGATATTACCTTCCACTTGTAAGATTAGCCCACTAAAAAACCAAAATGTTTACAATATTATACCATATATATGCCCTATAAAATAGTCCATCGGAATGGGCTACGCGCATGTAAATAGGACTCGAAAAGTAACCGACACCATCTGGAATGTTCTAAACTCATCAATAGCGCACTGCCGGCATTCAAGAACCACCAAGGTGGCTTTCAGCTGTTACTGCTACAACGAGGCTCTGCCAACCAATAGTAAATTAAGAAGGAGACAGGAGTCATGACACTGATACAAACGTCGGTTATTAATTTTGCTCAAATGGCTCCCATTTCTCCACTGCACTCCATAGCGATTGGTCCAAAAACTCATATTGGTTAATAAGAACAATTAATTAATAAGGGCTCAACTACGAGAAGAGTTCATTTGAAGGCATTTCACATAAAGTACTTTGGATGGAAACAGAATATCTAGTAAAAATTTTGTCCAAATGAATTTGAGCAAGGAAAATACTAAAACTCTGGACACGCATATTTTATTAAAAGTAATTAAAAAAAATTTCGAGTCAAACCGAGACACCTAAAGTTGGAAAGGATTTAAAAATCTCGTAAACAGTCTTCTTCAAATTAGCCGATGACGTCTGGAAACCACTCTTTTTGAAAATAAACGGAAGCGATTAGCCAACTGTTGGGGGAAATTATTTGTTCCTTTCGAAAGAGCAAAAATTAAATCCTATTTGTGAGTAGAAGACAGCGAGGTTGACTTGCCAAGGAGGGAAAAGATGTGACAGAAACTTGCTCATCACGTATTGGCATTTAAATTTGAAGTTACTACCAGAAATATTTAAAATTAAATAAGAGCGATAAAAAGGTCAACAAGATCCTTAAAAAAGATACCCCGATAACAGTACTGAAGGAAGAATTGGGCTAAATGGATAGGAACTTAGAAGACTATTCAGCAATTAAGAAAAATCGCCACCTGTTTGAAGGAAAATGAAAGATAAAACCTGACTTCCGGATACGTCCTACAATAATTGTATGCATTTCTAGCCATAAAGTGCATTACATGAAAGAGAATCTATTTTTTTGTCAAAACGGTCGAAATAATTGATAAAATGCTCAACAAAAATCGATAATTAAAATTCATTCCATTTCAAGTCCCCTTCACCTTATCGATACCATCTAGGATTACTCAGCTGTTGAAGATAAACTGAAAACTTTATTCCGAGAATAAATGGGGCTCTGCATATCAATCATTCTTTGCTCTGACTGGACACTTTTCCTGGTCCCTTGAGGACGAGGAGGAGAAGAAGAATGCCGCTAGATGAATGCGAAACGTAAAAAAGTTGCGAATTGGGGATCAAGTCTGCAACTACGTACAGAACTGAGGGACGACGCGTTTTAATATCCTTTGTAGCATTATATATCATTTTTAACAGCGCAGTTAGTTTCTTTCTCAGTTTATGATCACAGAACCGGTCGTGTTAGGTGAGTCAACACAATCAAACAAAAAAACGTTAAGCATATCCTTGGAGTACATACTACTGACAAAGTCTACTTCAATTTAGTAAGCATACTAGTCAATGGCTCTGCGCATATATGGAGGATTTGAGCAAAAAATCATAAATGCTACTCATATTGAACTAATTTGACTCAAGCAGAAGACGTACCATGTGAAGTTTCACTGTCTCGAACCATGAAAGTGCCTGGTGTATTACTGTTGAGGAGAAGAAGCCGTTCAGAGTCCTTCCTCGATATCCTTGGAATGTACCACCTAGAGAAGATAAGTGAAAGTAGCAGATTATGAGGTTGTTTAGAGCAATTTAGCGATTTCACTTATTCGTATTTGATAGAAACGAGCAAATCACAGCTAATGAATTCATTTAGTCTGTACCCAACTCCAGAAAAATCCCAACTGGTCGTGAACGAACTCTTCAAAGTCTATTTCCTCTTCAACCATGGCTGCAAATTATACATAGTAATAGATCTAAATAACTCAAGAAATTGTATCTTTACTGATAGAGAGTAATAAAACTAAATTAGTGGAAAAATTATTCCGTTGCTGTTTCATACCTTTTTGATCAAAGTTGAGTTAAGTAGGAAGCAAATTCTCCTTTGGGAATATTTTAATCGACTCAAAGGAGATCTAAGACTGGACTGGAGGTAAAGCCATTCAGTAATATCTTCTAATTCATCAAACAGACAATAAAGTAACAGGAAATTGAAGAAAATTCAACAATGATGGACTGTCTGGATCAGTCGTGTAAGAACCAAAAAATGATTAAGTTGACATGTAATTGATAGGAATGTTTACCTGTCTCTTTTTAAAGACTAAGAAAACGGAACGATATGCCAATAGTAAGTTTGTAGGCATTCAGGCTAAAGTATATATCCACCTAGTGGTTTGATTTTACAACTGAGACATCAACATTATAAATAGTACTAAGTAGAAAAGCAAGTGCAGAATGTTAGCTCAATGGTCAATGTACATGCCTACCAAGAAAAAATCGATGAGAACAAGGCTCGCCGTTGAATATTCAATGATTGCGACGACTCAAGGCACTTATTATCTCTTGTCACCCCCCCCCCCAAACGGCAGTTAGAATTTGAGTTAGTGTCACTAGAATGACCCAAGAATATCTTCCACCTACCCTATCTAGCTGTTAACAACTCCCTTCAATAGATGATTTACCGGAGTTCTATTGGGCTAATCCGATAACATGGCGATAAATAGCGCTTTTCTTTTCTTAAAAATTCGACCCTAATTTGTTTCTTGCTACATGTTAACCCAGAAAAACTTTCAACTTTGCAGAAGAAGTAAGGTCATTGGCCGAATAGGATAGACGTTCAATCTAAGCGCTTTGTGGCCATTTGACCTGGTCGACTGAAACGTCAAATTAAAGAAACATTTGGACATAAAAAATTCAAGATAGGGAAGATAGGGAATATGAATGCAAGGATTTCATGTATTAACATTCAACCAAAAATTGGATAACGGAGCAAGAATTTAATGCATACAATTTGTTGCTAATAGGAAATAATGGCCTCATTGATTCAGATATTGAATGTACATGATTGTTAAATAAGACACCAACCCCCCTGCCCCAAGGATTTCAAAATATCCGCGCCTTATTTCTAATTAAATCGGGAATTATCATCATCATCATTATTGACAATTTTCGCCTGTTTTTAAAGTGATAAAAAGTCCAATTAGCGAAGTGTGAAACGATGGCACTACCGATTTCATAAGTGAGACGGGAGAGACTAGAAATATAGTTGTGATTTAAAATCTGCTAGCATTGAGTTTGTAGATAAACAATAAACACCAAAAGATGTTATAAAGAAGTTCAAATTTAAAAAAAGATGGAAATAGAGGGAAGAAAATGAACTACGAATGGTCTAATTTCAAGTCCATTATCCACATTCTTCTTTCAATCGGAAGAATGAAAGTGAAGCCAATCAAATTGTCAAAATACCAATTTAGATAAAATAAAAATGACACTTATTTAAAATGATATTGTCCTCCATGAACTATCAACCCTTAACTAACGAGAACTATCAAATGAATCCTTTAATTAGAACTTTAATTTGGTTAGAAGTGTAAGTGGAAGGGGAAGGAGGGGGGGGGAGAACTTTCTTAATCCAACAAAATAAAAAATAAACTAAAAACGGCCTAATTGACAAAGACAATTGGAAAATATAAAAATAAATTATCGTAAGACTTTCAACTTACTCTTCGGCTTCAAGAGATCCAGCCACAGCAACGTAGGAAGATGGAACGTAACCTTTTTCGGAAGTTCTACAGTGTTCTACGAACCACCACTCTCCATCACTAGAGTAAGATGTTAAAAAAAACAATTAGATATAACAATGAGGGAATTATATTGAGCTCTGGAAAGTAAAAAGATGTTAGATCTTATCATTCTGAAATAAAATGGCTTGTAGAAAATTTCTAATCTCAATCTATTAATTTTTTTGCTGACACACTTGGTAGGAAGGGGACAACGATTTTGCAATGCATGGACCACACACAATGAAGGCCTTAATCAGGAGAGAATTCCAGACCTCAAGGTTCAAAGAACTTAAAGCTCGAACAAAGGAGAAACAGTGGACAGTGGCACTCTCCGACATACCCGACTGGCCAAGAATCGAAGCCGTTGCTGAGTTTAGACTACGTACCGGACACGATTGCTTGGCAAAACACCTTCACAGATTGGGAGTACACACTCAACCCACATGCCCTCTATGTAACCTACATGAGGAAATGGAGAAGACCCACCTGATTCGGTGTCCAGCCCTAAAGACAAGGACGGAAAGCCAAAGATAGTGGGAAGCAAGAAGACAGCTAATGAACTGCTATAAATGT